TCAGGTCTAATTGTGCCAGGGTACCATCTGCCTCAAACCCCAGGTAAGACTTCCTTTCTGCTCTCTAAAACCGAGTGAAACCCTCTTTGCAGCTAAAACTCCCCCGACCCCCGCCCTCCCTCCCGTGCTCCCTCCTAAACCACCCACTTGGCATACAGCACCCCAGACCTACAGGCCATGAGCACTGTCATGTGACAGCGATGTTATCCAGGCTCTGCCTGTCACCCAGGCTCTGTCTGTCACCCAGGTGTGATCAGTTTGTAAAAACTGAGGGGGACACTTACCTATACACTCTATATTATAATAAAAAGTTTTTAAAAATATTACCCAGGCCCTGGCCTCCCCCTGCCTCATCTCCCACCAACACCTGGTGCTTTGCTTCCTAACCCTTCTAAATTCCTTTGCTTTTTCAGCCTCAGGCTGTTTTCACACCTCCAGACCTTGGCACCTGCTATTTCTTCTACCTGGAACACATCGACCCACCCCCAAACCTTGTCCCTTTTGTAGGCTCCTATTTATCCCATAAAACCCAACCTGGATATCACCTCTTCCAGGAAGTCTTTCTGGGCTGCCCCCCGACCACACCAAGAGTCAATCACTAACCTCTTCTTCCTCTAGACTGTCTCTTCTACTACTTCTCATTATCACCGTGTCTTCACCGGTCTGTGAGTACCACGAGGATAGAGATCATGTAATTTGTGTTTCTGAGCTCCCAGCTGTAAGCAGAGCGGCTCCCACGCCGTCATGGCCACATCTACCATATGCCGTGTGCCAAGCCGTGGCTGATCTTGTAAGGGCCTGCCCCAAAGTCCCAAAGCCAGGAAAGGGCACGGCTGGGACTTGAACCCAGGGCCTAGTGGTGCACAGCCCGTGCTCTTCAGCCGATTTTGCTGAAGAGGCTCAGCACACGCTGACTGAACTGAACTGAGCACCTTGGAGAACAAGGAGAGCTAGGGTCTCTTAGACGGGAGTGTCTGAGGAGAGCATCTTGGGCCCTAGAAGGAGGAAGCAGCAAGAAACAGTACACCAGTGCTCCTCTCCCAGCTTCGGTAGGCGCTGACGATGAACACCAGACAGCACCAACCCCACAGGGTACCTGCTCAGAGAGCACAGAGATGAAAGGAGGCGGGTGTCTGGGCAGTGTGGACCCGCCGAGGCTATGACCTGGCTCCACTTGCTTATGCCCGCTGTGCGGCCCTTGGCCGCTCTCCTACCCTCTCTGAGCCTCTGTTCCCAAACTCTGTCCGTCCACAGAATGCAGGAATCCTAGAGAATGGACTGTGCTCTCGAGAAGCTTACAGTCTGGCTGGTCGAGGAAAGATACCCACATGTAGCTGAGCTCCCAACCCCCCTATGTGAGCCTATGTAGCTCCCTGCCTTTACCGGACCTTTCCCTCTAAAAATGAGGGGCTCCCCCTCACTGGCACAGCTCTAAAGAAACAGCATGCTCTGACGACTGAGATACCAGCACGCACATCCAAGGTCAGACAAAGGGACAGCTCAGTCCCTATGACTGGCAGCTTATACCACACCTTGCATACAGTGGGTGCTTAATAAAGCGCTCAGTTATCCAATAGGCACTAGAACAGGATACCAGAGGGGAGTCATTGGTTCCTGAAAGAGCCAGCCCAGTGCTGCACCCCCCAGCCCCATGGCATGGGAGTGAAGCAGGCCTGGCTTCTAAAGCAACACCTCAGGCTCTCATTTAATGGCCCAACGCTCACTCAGCACCCAGCACGGAGCCTGATCTGGCTGCTCCTCACCCAGGGCCTAATGCTCCTTGTGTGGTGCTCATTCTGTTCTAGCCTAGAGCAGCTGAACGCCAAGAGAACCCTGCCCTCCTCCCTCAACCCTCCTCAGAATGCTCATGCCTATGTGGCCCTTCGTCCCTCAATTCCTTGAATTATGGCATATTCTACCTTCACATTGCCAAGAAGGGTTGTCTCCCAGCCACTCACACCTTAGTATGAATTTAACTAGCTAACCTTATTGTCCTCCCCCAAACTAGACTGAAATCAAAGGAACAGGAGAAAGACAGAGGTATTGCCATGGGGGGGCGGGGGCGGATAACCTGAGGGGACTTTAGATAGTCAAGGGCAGCACCCCAGGCCCCGAGGTAGGCCAGGAATCCAGAGTGTCAAGCTTCTGAAGGCACCCCAAAAGGGCCTTCTAGGCTTTCAAGACTCTGGGCGTCAGTCTTTAGATCTAGTAGAAGCTCTGTATTCTGCCCCTCACTGAGCAATCTTGCTGGAGTCATCTGTCCCCTCTGAGCTTCAGTCTTCTGTTTAGCAGGGATCATGCACCTAGGAGCTACTCAACAGATTAGATGAGTGTCCTGTCAACCACGCAGCAGAGCGCTGCAACCAGACCCTCTCCTGTCCTGCCGCCCATGTGTCCCTGCCTGCCCCAGCCATGACTGTGCCTCAAAATGCCCACCATCCCCCTAAAGTGGCCTCAACAACAGGACAGGAAACTGAAGCAGAGACCTTGGAGCTGGATAAAAATAGGCAGACAGCGCAAGGCAACCGAGTGGGCTCTGTCCTGGGGCTGCAGACATTCTGCTCAAGAGAGGGGCCAGGCTCTCAGGAACAGGAGCCCCTCGGGACTCAGGGAGACAGAAGGGGCTGGGGAAGCTGGCCCGTGTGGGCTCAGGGTGGTCTGCACCACCCTGCCCAGTGGTGACAAGGATGAGCACTGAGCTCTATGCACCCCATCCCTGGTTCTTAAACAGGGCCAGGCTGTCCCCAGGCTCTTTGGATCACACTCCCTTGCCCCCACCCCCCACCGGGGTGTGTCTCTGGGAGGGGGATGGGAGCCCTAGCTGCGGAATGCCAGGCAGGACCCTAAGGGCAGGAGGGCTGGGCAGTCACACCGCTCAGGCTCCCAGCTGGAGCCTGCCACTTACAATTCAGGAATTTGGGCAGCTGGCCCAGCAGGGAGCCTCAGTTTCCCTATAAAATAGGGCGAATCACATCCGTCTCACTGGGTTGCCATAAGGAGTCAATGAGATGGAGAATGACCAGCTCTTAGCAAAGCGCTAAGTAGTGAGTGTCAATAAGGTCAACTGTTGTCAGTAGCAGCAGTTATTATCTGTCCTTGAACATCAAACACCCTGGCCAGGCCCAACACATTCTGCCCGTCAGCTTTCTGACCTCACCTCGGTCCGTACTAGCCGGATGACTCCTGCCTTCATCCACTGAGACCTGTCACCCCTCTGGGCCTTCCCCTCACCCTGCAGCGCCTCCCTCCCCGAGCCTGTCCTCCAGGGTGACAGCTACCTCCGCCCCAAGCCTAGGAGCTCCCAGGAGGCGAGGGCAGTGCCAACCCACTGGTCCTCTGAATCCCACAGGACGAGTAAGCTGGAAAAGCTGACCAGCGAGCCCCCAGAACGGGAGGAGATGAGTGACGTTCCTGGAAGGTGCCTGGGTGACCACACGGGGAACGCTCCACCCACCTCCTGAGACAACCTCGAACTCCGACCAAAGCCCAGCAGACCCCATTTGATCCCCCCACCCCCACCCCTGAAACCCCAAACTTTCTCCCCAGTTCCCTCAGCCCCTCAGAATTCCAAGCCACTGGACGCCAAATTTTCTCACGCAAACCATGCGGGCCTCGTCCACAGTAAAGAGCAGCAGGGATCTGCTCACTGGCCAGTACCACACAGTGCTCTAGAATGACTGGGTGGTAATCCCAGACGTGGGGCCCCAAAGGCCGCCAAATCTAACAGCCCCCAGGGTCTCTGGACATGCCCCTCCAGAAGGCGCTCTCTCCTGGTTCTTGTAGGTGCTCTGGGGTCTGCTCCTTTCTGACTGAGCCACACACCCAGCCAGCTCTGGGAGGACAGAGATCCAAAGAGACTGTATCTGCAAACAGACCCAGACCGTGGAACTCTAAAGCATCTCCGCAAATGGCAGTTTCCACCATTAACCGGGTGGGGGTGGAAGCAGAGAATGTGGAAAAATTACCCATCCATCTAGACGACCCATGCCGATGCAATCCACCTAAATTAAATACATTCTGAGGGCTGGCAGGGGCACAGAATCATGCATTCAGAAATACTGTTAAGCCTCCTGCTTCAAAATTATAGGCACAGAAGAAAAAGAATGGATTAAAATACTAACTTCTTGTGCTCATTTGGTAAGGTCTTTCAGGGAAAGGCATTATAACCAAGTAGGGGCCAAAAGGCATAGAAGAAAACCCCAATCAGAGGGGCCACCAGAGACCGGAAGGCAAGGGGACCCACTATGGGACCCTGGGCAAGTCACTTCCTGCTCCAGCTTCTCGTTTTCCCATCTTTGAAACAGGCGTACCTGTTTGATCTCCCATGGTTGTGATGGAATACGGAATGAATGGGGAAGGGCTCGGACCTGGGAAATGGCCAGGCAGCCACGTGCAGCCAGCATCGTGTCCCCCTTAGAGTCATGGGATGAGGATGGCAAGAATGACAGCCAGAACTTCATGCGGGGGAATGGAGGCTTTGGAAGTACATGCAGCCCTTGCAGGAAAGGGGGACGGGACAGCAGTCAGGAGCACAGTGGCATGGTGGCAAATGACTCTGCCACTCTGTGACCCGGGGCCAGGACTTTACTGCTGTTCTGAGACCATGCATGTACAGGGCCGGAGCAGCGGACACGGCCAGAAGGAAACACTCCATAAACAGCTATGGTCACTGCTGTCGCCATTACGCCCCAGGCGTGGGGCAGGGGAAGGACAGCTCGGATGCACTCAGAGGCTCTCACCCGGGGAGCCAGCCATGCCCACTTGGGAAGAAGCAGCACCAGCCTGAGTGGCTGTCACGCCATGCAGCACAGACCCAGGCCACAAGCCCCAGCTGTCTTCCTAGCACACCCATCCGCTGTGCTCCCAAAGGGTCCCACAGACCTCCGCACCAGAGTCCCTCCTGGCCCCCGGTGACCCCAGGTCACGGCCAACCTCTCGTTTCTTAAGCAAAGCTAGGTTTAGCTATTCTCAGGAATGGGAGGATCCCTGTGGCCAACTTTTCATTGCAGGGGCTTGGGGGACTCCAAACTGGGGTTCTCTCTGCTTCCTAGCCCAGCATCCACCGCTCAGGGAGAGACATGGAAACCACCAGCCTTTGGCAAAATCCTCGCTTGCCAGACCCTCCCCCAAGCTCGTTCTACCCACTCGATTTCCCCCTCTTCTGACCTTCCACGTCTGTCCTTCCTCCCCAGAGTGCGGAGAGGAGGAAAAAGCCACAAAGATAAATGTATACAAACACATGTGTTTTGGAGCCTCTCAGCAGCTGGGACAAGAGGCTCCCCTGCTAAACAGAGGGATGGAGGGTCATGCTGGGCTTTCACCAGCCCCACGAGAGACAAGGTGGAGACAACTGGGGAGCACATGGCCCAGCAAGCACTTTCCAAGTGACCAACTTTAGATCTCACTCGTACAGATCGTTCTTAACCCCAAGGACGCCGGCAACGAAGACAGTGAATCTTCCAATCCAAGAGGTGGGAGGAAATGGGAAAAGAAAAGGAGAGAGGAAATCAAAAAGGCCTCCATCAAGCTCCCCGCCCCCACCTGTCCCCTTCTGTGAAGTTCAACACAACAGCACCGTGCAAGGACAGAAATGCCAACCTGAGAATTCACCCGGGGCGGTGATGAGGGAGTTGGTGGCCTCCATTTCAGTGTAAGACAATGTGGAATCAGATAGATCTACGGAGGAAAGAGAAAGACAACTTAGTCGGCGGTGGGGCACTCCTCTCTTTTCTTCTCTCTCACGCATCTGTGTGTGTGTGTGTGTGCGTGTGCACGTGTGTGTGCACGCAAGTGCTTGCAAAGGGCACCGTGTCCCTCCCAGCTTTCTGATGCCACTCTGTAACCTCGTCCCATGATCACACGAGACCAAGCCAGCCAGCCCTGGAACTCCTCTGGAAAATGCTGAGTCTTGCAGCCTTGGCACCTGAAAAAGTCTCAACTACTCTGACCACAGAAATAACCCAAGTTCAGGGGACTGAGCAAGTAGCAACTTGGAGCCTCCGTGGGTAAGGTTAAATTAAGCCCCTAAACAATTCATAGTTGCTGCGCTTAATTACCACCATTAAAATTCTTAAAGTTGTTCCTTCTTGCTTGCTTCCTTCCTTCCTTCCTTCCTTCCTTCCTCCCGCTGGAGCTGGGGAAGCTCTGTTTTAACAAGTTACCAGCCACCCTCACTCTGTCCCACTTGCACCCCTCTAATTAAGGGCTCAAGCATTTGCTCCCAGATTAACTTTTTTTCCCCTCTTCCCTCCTCCATTCCTTAATATCCAAACCTGCTCACAGGGCAACTTTCAATGCCTGGACTGTGTTTTTGTTTTGTTTTGCTTTTTTAAGGCTTTTTTTATTTTTTTAAGTAATTTTAAGTACTTCATATGGTGCGCATTATTTGTTTTCCCCTGTCTTCAGTGCAGTGAGTGAGATGGGGAAAGGAAAATCTTTTGCACGTTTTCTCTGGAACACTGAGCTGCTACCCAGACAAGCCGATGCCTTTTTGGGCAGGCGGACTCGCAAAATTTTTCCTCTGCTCCCAGCCACGAGGTGTTGTCCGTGTGAAGGAGTCATAAGGCATGTTCTGTGAGGCTGACAGCTCGTCACCTTCTTACCCAGCTCAACCCAGGTCTGGCTCAGCTGGTCCCACCTGGCTCAGGAGAGCCACTCCAAGCTGGGGATTCCTGGGACTAAAACCGTTAGCCAAGGCCCTGGCTAGCTAGAATTCCACTGGATCTGTAGGATTTTTTTCCCCCTTTTACCACAAGGTTTGGGGAACGGGAAGATGAAACATTAACCAATTTGGGGTTTTTGTTTTGTTTTGTTTGTTTCCCACTTGCCAGATGCTGACTGGGTGTTCTGGGTTTTATTTTGTTTTTTTGGTCTCATGTGATCACAGAGGCTTAGAAGTGAACTGACTTTTTGTTTATGAAAAAGCAACAATGCAAGGAAAAGAAAATAATACAAAAAATAGCTCGGACTATTTATCGGGGCACGAAAAAGTTATCTGCTGGTAAAACGTGCTAGGAGGGAAATAAGGACAGATGGAAAATCTCTTTAAAATAAAAATAAGACCCACAATGCCCAAGTGGGAACTTCTTAAGAGAGTTTTGCTTTTCATATCTATTGGTCCCGAAGTGTTCAGCGCCCTGAGTCTTGCTGCTACTTCTTGTCTGAAGTAACATCATCGCAGGCTGAACCTTATTTCTAAGGGAGCCGCTAGAGAGCCCACGTGGACAGCTTAGTGAGTGAGGGTCCCCAGAGTGGGAATGGTTTCCACCTTTCAAGGCTCTTGAGGCCCTATTGTGCATTCTTCCAAAGCCTCCCATTTACTGCTTCTAGTGACCCCTGACATTGGAAGCAGCACAGTGGCTGGTAGAGAAAAGAACACTTCCCACCTTGATCACTGCTCAAGCCCCACGGAGGGACCCTGTCTGGAAGCCGGGGTCCCAGGTTTGAGTCCCACCTCTGCCACCAGTCATAAAAATCAGGGCTCACCAACTTTTTCTGCAAAGGGCCCCCGTCATAAGTAAAACTTTCAGCCTTGCGAGCCACAGGATCTCTGTGACAGCAACTCAACTGTGTCGCTGGAGTATAGCAACAGCGAGAGACAATGTGGGAGTGGGGGAACACGGCCATGTTCCAGCAGGACTTTTTGTATGGATGCTAGACTTTGAATTTCATGTCATCTTCACGCGTCAGGAAATAGTACTCTTTTGATTTTTTTTTTTAACCATCTAAAAAAGTGCAAACCAACCTTAGCTCACAAGCCATACAAAAACAGGTGGTAGGCCATAGTTTGCAGACTCCTGAGCTGTGTGGCCACCAGCGGGTGTCACTTCCTCTTTCTAGGCCTCAGTTGTCCCATTTGTAAAATAACCGAGACACCTGTTGATTTCCAAATGGTCACTCTGCAGGGCCAGGCACTGTCCTGATTTTTGCTGCTTTATCTCAGGCTGACCCGCAATTCCTCAGGGCAATGATCCTTGACATTCAAACAGAGGGGCTACATTTACTGAGAACATTTGGGCTGTTTGGTTTTGTTTTTTTTTTTTCTCCTTCCTCTAATGGAACTAGGGATCTTCTAAGCGACTAGTGCAATTATGTTGACTCGGGAAATGCTGAGACAGGCCCATGAGGGAGGGATGGAGAATGGCCGAGTCGAACAGGGGGCTGCTTCGTGGGTTTCCGCCTCAGCCCTACTGCTCATTAGCTGGGGGGCCCTCTTCGTCCCTCAGCCAGATCCCTCATCTGTGAAGTGACAGGGTCCCACCAGATGACCTCTTCGGTTCCCCGGAGAACTAAAAAAAGCTCCTCCATCCACGGGATGACCAGACGTGGGGAGAAACAATGAGGAAGTTGCCATCATTAAACCACTGACTCAAACACCGTCATGGGACAGCCTCTGTCCCCCTTGACCGAAGAGGTCAAACTCCTGAGCAGACCTGGGGGGCGCTTCTCACTCCACAGGGGGGCCTGGAAAGCAAACTGGCCTGGATGCCTGAGAGTCTGTGCCACTTAGGAGTGACCTCCCAGACGATGCTGACAGAGGCTACTGGGAAGAGGCCTTTACCAAAAACAAAACAAAACCCACTTCTTGTGGTCACTTGGTGGAATGTATTAGCATCACTGCCATGCTAGCTGACTTCGAGAGCCTGAATCCCACGGGAACTGCCTGGGAAACAAACTTGCTCTCCTGATACTGGTAAAGCCGAACTAACTGGCCCCACCCCTGGGATCCTCCACTGGAGGGTACAGCAGGGCCAGAGAACAAGCCATCGCCACTTTCAAAACCACATGCCTCTACTCCAGAATCTGAGCTGCTCGTCTAGCCCCAAGGTTTTCCAGAACACCCGTTCTGCCTCCAAATGGGACCTGCCTTATACGATGACCAGCTCCACTGAGCGCACGGAGGGGACGGACCATGCCAGCGACTTCCTGCACCGACACACAAGCTGTCTCCATGGTCCCACTGTTGTTTCTGCCCAGGTGAACTTCTTGGCTTAACATGGGGAGAAGCACACCACTCCTCTCCACAGTGACTTCATGCTCTACCTATCTGTCATAGTGCTAATTACTGCAAGCTAAAAGGAGAGCAACCGAGGGCTGGGGAAGGGAGAGAGGAAAAGGGAGAAACACCAACCCATCTCCAATGAGGTGCTTAAGCCAAAACCCATTCATCTCCCACAGGCCCATGTTTAAAGGTCACAGAGAGGTTAATGATGAGCGGAGGAATTTCGAGATGTAAATAGCCCGCTGCAGAGCCTGGGTCTGCTTTGGCCCAAGTGTAGGTGTGTTTGTAAAACTTCGCCCCAGCGCAAAGGCAGCCAGGCCTGCTTTTCGCCCCCCCCTTCCCTCCAGCCCTTCGGCACTGAGGCTGCACCCCCCCACCCCGCCCCCAGATTGAAAGGGAGCTGGGTGGGAAGGAGGACACACTTACCCAGTGGCTTGTACTCGTCGCGAGGAGACAGCCGAGAATAGGGGGGTGGTGGTGATTCTGGAAGACAGGAGACACAACACGTCACGGCTGGGGCAGGGGAGGTCACACCTGGGGGTTCGACCTGGCTTTTGATGATTGGTGTCCTCAAATAATAAGCCCAGCCCCCAGAAAACTCTTTCCCCACCACCTCTCTTTACCCAACGGGGAAGGCCCCAGGCTTGGGGTACAGACCCAGACTCAAGCCCTCATCTGCCCCCTTTGGCTGTGTGACCTCAGGCAAGTTACTACTTCCCTTCTCTGAGCCTGTCTCCTCAGCTCTGAAATAGGGATAATAACCATAAAGACCTGCCAGGTTTGCCAGGAGGGCAAACGAAGATAATATATGTAAAACAGCTCTTGGTACTCTGGAAAAGTACCTGTACAAACACTAACTGTTGTTACAACAAATGAAACATGGGTGCAGTGAGAGTCAGAGCTAGGATACCTGCCTGATAAAACGCAGGATGCTCTGTTAAATTTCAAGTTTGGATATATATGGCATAATTTCTAGTATACGTATGTCCCTTGCCCTGTTTGGGACATACGTATACTAAAAGATTATGTGCTGTTTTTAACAGAAATTCAAATTCAGCTAGGCATTCTGTCCTTTTATTGGCTAAATTTGGCAACTCTAATCAGAACTGAGTGTGAGAGACACAGAAGCTCCTTTCCAAATAAGCTGCATTATAACTGACATTCTTCGGGGGCAGGGAGGAGGGCAAGACTGGCTAGAGCCCAGGAAGGCAACCCAGCTTCCCAGATGGGAGACCTTAAGCCAGTCACTTCCAGCTAGCTCTCGGCCTCAGTCTCCCACTTTGTAAAGAGAAGGGGTGCACCCCAAGCTCTCCATGGCCTCCCGGCTCAGACCCTCTGTGATTCCTTATTGTCTATGGTATTTTTCTTTTGGTTTCCTTTCATTTGCCTAAAATACTCCTCCTTAAAAACATGTATTTTGTCTTCAGAAGAATTCCTTAGCCTCTTGCTTTAGGGGAAGTAACAATTTGCTAAACTAAGTAACAATTTGCATGAATGAAATGACCCTTCATTTTCCCTAAATGAAACTAAACACCACCAAATCGCAAAAGAAAACAAACCCTCAGTGGTAGTAAAGCGGTAATAACTATTATTAGGCAGGTATCAGTAATGACACAAGGGGTAATAAGTGTTTTTCGCAATTATAATAAGGCACAATTCGTTGTAGGAGCGTTTGTTTTCCTCTGCACACCCAGTGCAGCTTCACTTCTTCCCCACCCAGCTTCTCCAGCCTGAAATTACTTCAACAAAGTCAAGGCTCTGAGGTCTAGAAACAGGGAATCTTTTGTGGACAGGCGTTTGGGAGAAGGAAAAGTGAATCATGGAAGAGCCACTGGGAGAGAAGCAAACATTTGCTGAATGCCTGTGTCTTTCTCCACACCGGGCATTTTCAACTTCATTTATTGTAAGTAATTGCATTCTTTTGGATCTTAGGTACAGCGTGGTTAATCATGCTTCTGGGCACTTCTTATTTCGTCCTTTCTCAAAAATAAATAAGGTGGCCATTCTCATTCCCATTTTACAGATGAGAAGACTGACTTACCCAGTTTCCCCCCCAGCCAATCATGGTGGAACTGGAATCGGGGCCCAGGCCCTGACTCTGCTCTACATCCCAAGGACGCAGGCAACAAGAGGCACCCTGTATTACACCCCTTCACCCCAGTCATCAGTCCATCACGTGCACAGAAAGTGCTCGGTCAACATGTGCGGACAAAGACGATGGTGACCAGGATAATGGAGAGGTGGGGGCCTCTGCAGACAAAGGTGTGGAGAACAAAGACCTAGAGGCTGAAAGGAGTGACCCAAAGGAGCCCCCCAACAAGACTCCAGGAAGGCAACTATTTGCCTTCAGTAGGAGCCACTTGGCCCACTGGTCCTCAGGGTCTTGGAGGGGCGAGAGACCAGACCTGAGTGAAGACCGGCCTCTCAGGACAAGAGGCAAAATGCAAGTGGGGCTACAGCTCCACAGGGAAAGAGAACTGAGGCGGGCACTCCCACTGCACAGTGAGCACGGAGGCCTGGCCGGGGGAGGTGACTGCCCCAGGGCCACACAGCAAACTGGTGGGAGAACCAGAGCCACAGCCAGAAGCCAGGTCTCCTGATCCCCAGCCTCATGCCCTGTCCACTCCCCCACTCACTTATCGGAAGGCCTGTAATTCCTGTGTTAGGGTTCCTTCTGCAAAAATCTGATTGGCTGAGGCTCAGGCCACACATGGTAGGGCGCTCTGGACAACTGGCCTCCCAGATCTGTCCCCCAAAAGTGAAACTTGGCAGCAATGGGCAGTGGCGGCTGGAGTCAAGCCACTGTCACCAACCCCAGCATTTCTCCCAGGGGCTGTTTATCTGGGACCCAAAATGTGGAGGGGAAGAAGGGCTATCAAAGTCCCCTCTTGAAGGAGCCGCCGGAGACTCCCACCACCCACGGCCACTCCCGGGCTGGGTGTGTCCTAATGTGAATGAGGCAGAAAGCAAATCTATAAATTTGAAACGTCCCTCACACCAGCTTGTGAGGAACTGCAAAGCTTTTAGGAGGGACTTGACCAGGCCTCCATTTGCTCCAGCAAAATGGTTCGCACAGAACTGCTGAACAACTTTAGAGGCTGGAAGCTGAATGCTAAATTCCATCCTGGGCAAGTTAAAAAGTATGAAGGCTTATGGACTCCACCCCAAGACACAGGGATTTATAATGTCACATGTTCACCCAGCTCAACTGCTCCTTTTAACTGGTTCGGGCACCTGGGGTCCAGCCAGGTAAAGGACCTGTCCAAGGCCACATAGAAAGGCAGGAGATGTTATTTTACTTCTGCAAAACAAAGTGGAAGGCCAGGTGGGGACCAATACCGAGTTACCTTTTTTTTCAAACAATTGAGTTCTCATTCACATACCCTAAGGTTCACTCTTTTAAAGTGTGTAATTCAGTGTTTTTTAGTATATTGAGAGTTGTGAGACCAACACCACCATGTAATTACTGGACATTTTCCTCACCCCAAAGAAGCCCTGTCCCGTTAGCAGTCAGTCCCTATTCCCTCAACCCCCAAACCCTAGACAACCACAAATCTACTTTTGGTCCCTATGGATCTGCTTATTCTGGACATTTCACACTAATAGGTTTACATAGTATGTGGCCCTTTGTGTCTGGCTTCTTTCCCTTGGCGTATGCTTTCAAGGCTCGCCTGAGCTGCAGCATCCACGAACTCTTTTATGGCTGAATGATATTCCGTTGTATGGCTGGTTAGCCATTCCTCAGCTAATGGACATTTAGACTTTCTCCATTTTTTGACTACTAGGAATAATAATAATGCTGCTATGACCAGTCTTGGGTGACCTTTAACTGGCACCACCGCTTCACTCCCAACACTTCCCGGCCCCACGGATCTGGGTGAGGGGAGCCCCAGGTCACTAACTCAGGTGGGCAAAGCGGGTACTCAGGTGGGAAACAAAAGGTCAGAAGAGCAAGTGTGGGCTGCCTCCAGGCCCTCTAGCCAGTCCCCTCTTAGGAGCCACCTCAGCACTTACAGAAGTTGTATTGATTTTTCAGTAGTAACTTAGATGCTCTAAACTTGAAGGGGAGAGCTCCTACAACCCTGCGGGCCCCTCTAAAAGAAATGGACATGAGAGAGAGAGAGAGAGAGACATCAGACACTCCAGCCTCAGGCATCAACTTCAGGAATCTCCTCCAACTTCCTTCAGAAGTAAGCAGTCAGCCAGGGGCCGAGCGTACCAGAAGGTTAGTGCTCAGCTCAGCTCAGCTCAGACGGGCCTCTGGTTAGCCCCCAGGGGGTACTTAGCCTTTTGGGATCTAGACCATAATTCTAAAGCCAGGAGAGTTCTCTGCCTCTCCCAGCGCCTGGTGATGTTTCAGTTTGGGACAATGCCTTCCACCCCCCGTCTCTGCAGTCCAGCATCTCCCTTAGGAAAGGATCCACATGCATCCCTGGGCCTCCCAGTCGCCACCCTCCCAGGGGTGGCTGTGGCGGGGGGAGGGGGCCTCTCAAGCAACCGTCCCCTCCACCCCCAGAACCTGAAGGCTCAACCCCCAAGCCCGGGTTGGGAGCCTCAGAAAAGGAGCTCCTGGCGCTTTAAGGCCGGCAGAGCCTAATTGCCCAGATTCCCCCGGCAGCCAGATAAACAGCGCAGCCGGCTGGCGCCAGCAAGAAGCAAACTGCACATTATCACCCCTTCCTCACCTCCAAGGAGGAGCTCCGAGGAGCAGGGCGGGCAGGCCGAGGGGCCGCCAGAGGGGCGGGGCAGGGGCTTGGAAGCCCAACTTGAAATTGATCTCATTTCAAAGGGATAATGCCAGGCCAAATAAAAGGAAAACTTTTTAGCCCGTTCTAATTCCTATAGTCCTGGCCTGGGAACCCTGTGTTTTCCTAGGCGGCCTCCTCCAGTCGTTTAGAAGTTCGCTCTTGCTCTGTCTCTTTCCCTGGCGCAATTTGGATAATAGTAATTTACTGAATATAATTACAGAAAAAAAAAAAAAGTGGTGGAGCAAAGAGCAGGAGATTTATTCCAAAGTTAATGGATACTTTCAGGAGAAAGGAGCTGTATAAACACAGGTTAGAACTGTGATTAAAGTATTTCTCCACATTTCCGTCCACATAGGCACCGAGCTCAGCGAACTGGCTTTTCCCGGGACAGAAAGACACACAAGAGGGAAGGGGAGCTGGGCCTGACTCCCACGGGGACGGAGGTGCTGGACATGCTGGACAGAGCCGGGCATAGAGGGAGGACCCCCACTCTCTGAGACAAGCATGGGGGAGAGAGCAGGGCAGGGGAGGCAGGCCTGGGTCCCCTGGAATCTGCCCATCAGACCCCAGGGATTCTGTCCACCGCCTCACTTTACACGTGGGAAAAGAGGCCCAAAGAGGGGAACTGGCCCCACTGTCCCAAAGCAAGCTGATGGATGGGAGCAGGGTTCGCTCTGAGCAGCAGGGATCAGCACTGCCCAGAAAGGGGCCTCCTGGCCACCTGGGCTCCCTGTGGGGGTCCGGTGGGCACTGGGGTGACTGGTAGGGTGCCCCTCAGTTGGCCTGCTGGGTATTTGGGTGTACTCTCCAGCTACGTGCCTGCTCTCCCTGAATGTGTCTGTCCATCTGTCTGTCTGCCTGCCTGCCCGCCCCACTGCCCCAGCCCTCTTCCCCCAGAGCCCTGGAAGGAGCAGTCTCCTTATCAGGATGCGCACGGCTGAGCTCCAGCTATGCACCCGCCCAGCTCCAGGAGCCAGGCTGGCGGCCAGGCAGCAGGGGTGGGGTGGGCAGCAAAGGGCTCCCCAGTTCTCAGTCCCAGCGGCCCAAGCCATCAGGCAGGGGATGAAGCAAGAGGGTCAACCTGACACCTACTGAAAACTCTTCCCAGACCATCAGTCCTCCCAACTGCCCCGAGGGTGGCCTGAATGGGGGGAGGGGGGAGGGCTGGCAAAGAGGAACAGAACAGACACAGCCCCTGCAACAGTGCCTCCTTTTGGGATGAGGGAGGGAGTCAAGTACCAATGCTCAGTCTAGAATTAGATGTGGAGAATATTCCTAGAGCCACCCACTCACCAGTAGGGAGACTGTGAGGGGAGGTTACTCATCCAAGGTCAAGCTTACTAGAGACCCTGGGACCAGGGCTTTGGGACGAACTGTTCCACTGCAGCTGTACCCCCCAAATTGGCCAAACTTGAACCACCACCTAAGTTGACTTCTAATCCAGGGAGGGAGGGGTGTGCATCCCTTCTGGCTCACACACCTGAGCCTGCCTGGCACCTTGACTCTCAGCTGGCCCTCTCCTCCTCCTCCTCTCTGCCCACCTCCCCGACCCATCTCCAGATAGAATTATGGAGCTCCTGGAGGGGATCCTGTTACCTACACATCCCACAGCGCTCTGAGAGTTCAGACCCAATGACCTGGCCCTTCTTCCCCCGTCTCTGCCCCATCTCCCCGGGGAAGATTATGTTTCTTAAGGGCATGGGTCCTACTCATATTTCTACTCTCCCTGCTATAGCACCCAGCGCCATGCCTGGCACAGAGTAAGTGCTCAACAAATATCTGTGGGCAGACTGACCTGGTAAGAGAGAAAGTAGTTGCCAAGACCTGCTAAAAGCACAGAGCGGGCCCCGCCAATTATCTCCCACGCAACAAAAATGACTGGGGACAGGGCAACCACAAACAGGGCCCCCCTCTCCAGAGTTAGGGAGGAGACAGGGTGGCAGAGAGGAGGAAGCCACTTCCAGGAGAAGCTGTCTGGAAGAGGAACAAGGGGCACACAAAGCCTACCATGGGCCACAGGTCCGGAACTGCCAAAAGCCCTCGAGTCACGCCTGGAGTGACCATGTGGGGACCAGGGCAGCCAGGTCAATGCTGCTTCTCCCCCACCCCCACCCCATTAGTGCTCTCTCTTCAGGAACCGCGGAGACACCTGCCTTTCCCCTCCAGCCACTACCCTACATGTGAATAAGACATCTGGGACAAATCCTGGGCCCACCGTCCCCTTCCACACTGGGAGTCCAGAGATCTGTGATCTGACCCTCTATGTGCTCCCAGGCTAGATGCTGACTCTCCAGAGGGGACAGAGACTGGAGGAGTTCAGAGCCCTCCCAGGCCCAACAGCCTTTAATCTTCCAGCAGTCCCACCCCCACAGAACCCCCAATGCCACCTGATGCATACACCCCTAAGATGCTATGGGCTGAAATGTGTGAGCCCTGCAGTGCAGAGGTCAGAGCAGGGGAACTGCAAGCTTCTGGGGCCTGCCAGAAGCCTCCACCTGTCCTTACCTCTGCTCCAGAACCCAGGGCCTGCTCAGGTAAGCAGGGCTGGGGGTAGGGTGTGTGCGGGAAATCCCAGGAAGAGAACAAAGAAGGGAGGCAGCTCGCAGAGGTAAGTAAAATTAATATCTGGCTTCCTCGCCTCCTCCACCTCTAGACCGTCAACTCTAGAAACACTGGACACAGAACTGACAATGAGGAGGACGGCGGGGGCCCTGATATTTGACCCCAAGGGATGCCGGGAGCAATCAGGGCAAGAAGGTGGTCTCCACTCTGAGAGAGCTTTGCTCCAAACTATACAAAGGAACCAGTGTGACAATTTATGAACACTTTTGTCTCTAGACATGAATTGTCTACGCCCAATTTCACAACTTGTATCTACCTGGACATAGGAAAGTACAGCATAGGAATAAGCATATGTACACAAATGCTACAGGCCTGGGCACAGACTGGGGGGGGAAGGGGGGGGCTGGACGACACTCGTGTTCGGCTTCTCCTAGGCCTGCCCTCCTCTTTCACCGTCTATGAAGTTGCAGCCTACATTGGTCCCTGAAGCTGCAGAGCAAACTCGAATGCATACCCTTGCAAGTTTGCCCGAGTCTTAAGAAGAAGGTGCCATTGGACACGTGTGCCCCAATACCCACTTCCCGGGCCGTCCTGCCTCCAGGGGCACCGGCGGGTGCAGCCGCAGATCCGCCCGCCCGCCCGCGGTGTCCCGGACCGAAAGGCCTCGGAACGGGGCGGGGAGGGGAAGCCCCAGCCCCCGCCGGCGCGCGCGCTCACCTGGCCCGCAGAGCCGGCTGAAGTGGTAGGGGTTGCAGCACACGGTGGGACCGTCGGCGGCGGCGGCGAAGCTGTGGCAGCCGCACAGGGGCTTCAGCTCCACGGCGTGCTGCAGGTCGGGCCAGCGGAAGAGGCGGCCGAGCAGCAGCTGCGGCGGCGCGGGCTGGCCGCCCAGGCGGAGGTCGGCGCGCGGCACCAGCACGCAGCCGCCCGGCACGCCGCCGCGGGACTCCACCGCCTCCAGCAGCGTGTCCAGCGAGCGCTCCTTGAGCCGCTTCAGCAGCGAGTACGTGACCGTCTTGAGTTCCTGCTCGAGCAGCAGCAGCCGCGAGCGGGCTTCGCGACTCCGCCCG